TTTCACAGAACTTTTATTCCTATCCGAACCGGATGCCACGTCTACTGCTGAAATCAGTCGTGGTGGTCACATGACCGATGATCGAGTTGTCCGGATTCAGCAACTTTTCAGTCGAATTTTCTTCGGTTTGTACAGCCCGTACGAAGAGGATCGGGAGCAGGCACTTCAAATAATTTTGCACACCAACTTGATTGCTCACTCGGTATGTTTTCATCTAGGATTGGCAATAATCCGTTCCGCAGTTTGTTTCAGGTCTTTATAGGGTTTAGGGGGTGGGAGTTATAGTAAAAATAGTCCTTGTTTGCATGTTTATAGTCTCCTCTGCTGGCATCTGTTGTTCTAATTTATGCCATAGTTTGACAGCACGTGTACAATTTCAGGGCAACACCCGGGTGCAATAGTGCCCAGATCGGGTTTATCCGGTGTTTCTAAATTCCTATTTCTTCTTACTCGTGAAAAATACTCCAGCAAAAAGCGATGTTATTGTCGTGATGAGAGAACTATTGATGGCCGCGTGAATTCAATTCTGGTAGAAGTTCAAGCGAATCCGTGGTGTCTCACAGCTGTTCTTAAGTCATTTGCTGGTTCATACGGACCGTTTTCGAGAACCCTAGCTACCAACTAGTTTTACAGGTGTTGTGTGTTGGTCCCCACTCATTTTGATTCATCATACACTGAAATAGGAGTACATTCTCACGTCTATTTTACCGTTTACTGTCATCTTTGTTTTCAAAAGGAGGAAATCAGCCAATCAGTTGATTTATCGTGAATGTTCCTTTCCTCCATGCGTCGTCATTTCATTTGCTATTTGATCCATTACATTCTTTTCTCCAAAGTAGATCACGTTCGTAGTGTACTAACTAGAAAGGCAGTTCACTTCTTTGAACCTGTACGCTAATACTTCGTTCTTCTGGCTTCGGCTGATGTATGTGGGCAGTCGAATTGATTACAACAGTTACAAGTTCATAGTAAAGTGTTCGTCATTTCAAAAATGGAATTAGTTTTGGCCTGTAATGAACTCTTGGACACCAGCCTGGATCAGCCGAATGGCTAGCTCATCGGACTGACGATCCCTCGTGGAGTTGACGTTTTTGTTCTCTCTTTCTGTCTCCCTCAATACGCATATATATATATATAAGTTAATTACTCATGACTGCGAGGTTAACTCGTTCTGATATTCATCCCCACAAAGTATGCGAAAAATCAATTAAGCAGTACTTCCCATTGTAGTCTGCAGTATCTGATGTGTTGACTTTGGATATCAAATCCATTTTTCAATCAGAGCAAGTTACAAGGTTCACCGCGTTATGCAACCCAATGCAGTTGATCAAATTCATCCTGCTCCTTCAGTATCATCTCTATCTACGGAACTCGGTTAATATATCTGTGGTATACTGCGATAGCACCGATTCATTTGCCAATCGATCTTCTAACTGTTTTCTGCTCGGTTCTCGGTTAATCGCAAGACGATTGTCACCCACCCCAAAGAAAGACTCCTCCATTATTTTTTTTTCTTGTACCGAATTTATTTGCTGTCATTTTTTGTTGATCGCCTTTTTCTTACATATCCACTCTACAAGTTAGTAACTTGCTAAACATTCACCACTTGGGTGCATAAAATGCTTCTTGACCTTGCAAGGATTACACCCCAGGATATCTGACTGATCGTTTTCAAGTTCCCACTTGTTTTGACCATCTGGTTGTTGTCCCTATGAGTTATCATCAGTTTCCTTCTTGACGCACTTATGTTTTGCTTTAAAGATCCCGTTTGTTCTATTTCAGCGTCCAGTTTAACTGATAGTGCATGGGACTTCGGTTTGTTTGACAACCGGTATTTCGTAGATGTGATATCTGTATATTGCTGACGCATTAGTCATCGTCCTTAATTCATTATGTCCACAAAAGCCACTGAATTTTCGGCAGTATGGATTGACTTGATGGCCTAACTGTATTGGTTTTTATGTTGCACAAATGTCTGGACGTCATGTATACGAACTCAGATTTTTGTGCTCCCAATCCAAGGATGAAGAAAGGCTTGGGACACTGTGGTTTGAAGCCCTGACTTTTCTTGCTGGAAGTCCCAAACCTGATGTGAGTCCGCTGGCCTGGAACATACTCCGACTGGCCGTTAACGCTCATCCTCGCCTAACTTCTGATAAATGCGATCATTCTGCCATGGATCCTTCTGTGCCAACAGAAAAGTCATTGCTGACATTGCATAACGCAGCGGAGCGTGCTTGTGTCACACTACGCTGTTTGTTGCTCATGGTTGAACGTGGTGTTCAGCTGGCGGAAGCGAGTCCCGTGCAAGGGCTACTTGCGATGGCGTCGAAAAATCCATTCTATGCTACGCTGAGCGCCATTCGTGCACTTCTCGACCAATTCGGTACAGCTTTGGAAACACATAATAAGACAGGATGCGATCTGTCACGTGAGTTTGCTGGACCGAGGAAACGGGTCTATGTAACTCGTGCGGATAAGCCAGTACTTCCGAGGTAAGTCTCTTGGTCGTCTCTGTTTCGTTGAAGTCATACAGATATCACAGTCATGGTTACCTAGTGACGAGTTTACCACATCGTTCTTTTACATTTGAATTGCTCTCTCAACTTTGTTATTCTGTGCTGTGGTTTAGACACTGCTTCAACCGTGAGAAAACATTGTTAGCCTTCTTTTGAATAGATACCTTTGTCGGTTTTGCCCGAATTTCACTGAACTGTCTTCTGAAAGATGTACGTTCTCTTCCTTCATTGTTGTATGGCACTAATTACCCCCATTAGATTCCCTAAGTCGTCAGTTGGGTGCACACGTGCTGTCGAGAACAACTTTCTCCACCTGTAAGAAGAAGGCTTGCACCTGCCTTGTTAAACACATTCAACGGATGTAAGCTAATCTATCCAAATACCTTCCACCCATATATTTTCTTCTCGTTCGTCTGCAGCAATCCATGGCCATAGCTCACTTGGTCTCTTTGATTACCGTTTGATTTCAGAAGACGATTCAATAATGAATGAACGGGGTTCGCTAAATCAAAGGGAAAACAATTTCATAGTCGAAAATATGCCTCTATGTAGATTCAGTCTCAAGCGTTTATCTCATTTTATATATAGTCTATTTAAATTTCATGATGTTAGCTGAAGCATTTAGGATAGATAGCGCTCGACAGCATGTTTTGTTTTGAGTGCCTCAAAGGAATCAAAACACTTGATGGATTTTATATAGATGATTTGAAATATTTAGATCTTCCTCCGTTTGAAAATTACTGTTCACAAACCCACACCCATATATATATGGGTGTGGGAAGGGCTTGGTGGATCAAAATTCAGTTCTATGTAAATCTGGGCATAACGGACACTGAGTGCGCGTTAGATACAACGAGCCTCGATTCTTCCGATAATGATACCCTCATGAACATCCGTTGGTTGTAACAATTGGGAATTTGAGTGTGACAATCACGGACCCTAATCTATCGCATTTATCACTTCGTTCTCTTCCTTCACCTAGTTGCATTTTCCGTCAGCTTCAGCCTGTCGCTGATTCAACGGAACCGTGCTTCAGTGTGGTTGATCGCCTTATTTCCGTCGCACTACGTGTTACACATTTNTGCAGCTCCTGAAGGTCATATTCCGGATGACGATGATGGTGATACATTGAATTCGGTGAGTTTATGCAAATGTCTCATTGGCAGATCGTAAGGCTTGAACAGCTTCCGCTTCTGAAAATTGTTTTCCTCAAAGAACCGATACTTGCGTTTGTTGTTCGGATTATCGCACTGCAAATAATCAGCATCCCAGTACCACCTATATTTTGCGGGGATTCGTCATGGCCGTGAGTCGCGAGTCTTGCTTCTGAGTCGTTTTTAGGTCTATCCTACCACCGGCCCTCCATTTCCGTGATTCGGTATTGGTTTTTGTTTCTCAGTGCGTTTTCGTGGATGGTAGTGCGGATCTGAATTAGGTATTCCTTTTTAGCATTTCACGTTACAATTACAAAACGATGGAAGTTTCATGAACGGGAAAAGATTAGGGAGAAAACCTGTCGAACTGAAGAAACGGATTTGATGCGTAACCTTAAGAAATGTGTTGGGACGAATAATGGGAACGTGTATAAACGGACCAGAAGTAAGACAGCGATGGAAAACAGAAAAATCAGATGACGATAGGAGACAGTGACAGATTTCGACCGTCATCATGCGTTTATCACCAAACCTGCGATGCAAGCACTGAATAAAAACCAAACGTTTGTATTTGGACAAAACAAGTATCCCAATATGGGCAGAATCAATATTGGAAATCAATTTCGTGTGCTCTCAGTCAACTGTCTGCGCACAACAAATAGTTTGGAATGTTATAAAAGTACAGTAAATGGACACCTACGTAATTACGGTGGCTGAAGTGGAAAAGAAGTTGGATTTTTGAGTCTTTTCCATAGTCATTCAGAGTTGAGTGAACGAGAAGAAGAAACATTAAAATCTTAGAGAGTCAGAGAAAGAAGATGCTAACGTTGAAACAGTTGCACGAAGAAAACCGATTAACCATGAATGAAAAAGGTAATTATTACCAAATTAGGGAACATTTCCTCTGGAAATTAGTTCAAACGAATTTAGGTAGGCTACACAATAGAAAATGGGATGAAAAAAGTCTTACCTAATATGTCAATATTAAGGATGAATGGTCAACGGGAAAGAATTGACCCGTTTTAGTTACTGTGTCTGCAATTTGTTCTTGTCCACTTTATATATATATATATATATATATATATATATATATATGAAGAGAGAGAGGGTTGTCAAATTTGCGCCAAATATAGAGAAAGAAATGTGAAAAGGTTCAAATGGAATTCAACGAGTACGATTCTCGCCATAGGTGCGCCATGGACGCTGGTTATCTGCCATTTCGGCCAGTGACTCAAACCATAGATGTTTGTTGTCCTTAGGACCCCAATCCAGGAACCTGGTGTGTCCTACAACTGCCAGCTTGAGATTAGGGTCTTTACCGTTCGAGCCCAGATTACTCGTTGCCCACCTCGTTACCGT